TATATATATATATATATATATATATATATGTAGACTTAGTATAATCTTGTTATATGCTCTTATATTTATGAGTACAATCATGAATATAATGTGTATAGTGCAGCGTTACGTGGACTCCACACTTAATATTTTTTCGTTTGAAGGCTGTCTCACACCTGACAGCTACAACAGAAATAGCAGAAGCGAAAGAGAAAAAATGTATTCATTTATGCAAGGCCTGAAATAGTTTTGGGTCATTTACATACCACCTTATTCCTATGTGTTTACAGATATAACATCTAAAGTATTATGTATATCTATACTATCCAAATTTTTCGTATCACATTAAAAATATCAACATTTGAACTTCTTAAAATGTGCAATATACATTTTTCATGTATAGCTACTGTACTATGTATGTAAAAATTGATGTTTAAGTATTAGATATTTATATGCATTGGAATTGACGGTTTGTTTGGGGCAACAATAATAAGTAGTTGTTAAGTGGCTGCTAGGAAAAGCTATTGTAAAGAAGTTGTTAGTGAACTTATATGTATATTTAGATAGTGTACTTGTAAATATGTTGGTTGTAATTGTTTTTGAAAAAGGGCTTTAATACCCTCGTATACATATGATAAGTATAAGTTCAATGTTTCAGAATGGACTCAAACAGAATAGCAAAAATAAATTTCAGAAGTTCACGGACATTCAAAAGTCTATATATTATATCAAAATTTATATATCAATTAACATTGAATAGCACAAAAATTAAATCCCATTAAACACCATTAAAAGGTATTGCATTATTAAAAAAAATCCAAACTAACAATCCCTTTCCAAATTCATTTAAAAACACTTACATAATGATCCTAAGATTGTTTGGGGATTAGGGGTGTGGAATAATAAGTTGAGCATTGTTGTCCTCATTTTTTATGACGTCTAGTTTCTCTTCTTTAGAAGTCTAAGACCTAGTCATAGAACTTTCCTGTTGACTATCCTAAATGAATTAGTAAATGGAGCCCTCCCACATAGAAATTCCAAACACTTCTTTACTCTTCTTGTGAAGTCCCACCTGGATGGTCACATGCCACCAAATGTCATTTAGGATGGTTAAGACCAACAAGTGGAGACTCAAGAGTGAGTTCCTATAGGTTCAATCAGGCCTTAGAGCAACCCTTGGTGACTTGGTCTTGGCATAGCCCATTAACAACTCACTCACAATCCTAAAACCCTAAAATCATTCATGTTTGAACATTTTCCCCACTCCTTTGGAAACTCATGTGGGTGGTCCCCAGAGCCTTTGGCTAAGGGTGGCTAGGTCCAACATATGGAAGATCAAAAATAGGCTCCCCATTAGTCTCATGGCACTAAAAAGGGAACTTCATGACCAACATATCCAATGAGCTTCAATTCCACCAAAACACCTAACTTTGGCCTTCTACCCCCAAACTTTCCCAAAATTACCAAAATGCCAACGAAACCCAAAAATTCTCAAAATTGACCGAATTTCCAAATTCTCACCAAAAAACATTTTGAATCACTCTAAATCACTCAAATTGCCCGAAGTACCACAATATCCTTAAAATTCTCAAAATACCCCTCATCACCCAAAATTACCAAAATACCCCTCATATTTAAAAAAATTTCAAAACCTCCAAATTCACTCCAAACATCCCCAAAATCAATTCCAACCACCAAATAACCTCAATTGCACTTAAATCTGCTAAATTGACCAAAATTCCAAAATTGCCCCTAAATGAACAAAGTCTCAAAATCACCCCCAATTTCCATCAAATTCATTTCGAATTTTTCCCATTTCAAATCCACACTAAAATTTCATTATGTCCAAGCCCAATTAGAACCAAATCCTAGCCCAATTAGACCCAATTTCAAGAACAAATTCCAAGCCCCAAATCAAATACCCCAAATTAACTCCACTTCCAAGTTACATCAAATTGAGCCATGTAATCATTCCAATTACACAAAAAATTTTTTTCTAAATGCTTCATGACATTTTCCTAGATCAATTTGAACCTTTGATTGATTTTAATCCAATCCCAAGCTAAGCCCAAGCCCAACTTCAAGCTCAAACCATAATTTTAAGCTTAAATCCAAATCCACCTCAAATATTTTAGATTAACCAAGCTCTAAACATTCCAGCCTGGTATGACCTTTTAAGAAGCTAATCACATCACCCAATGACCCTCTTTTGGAGCCATGGACCAAGGGTCCCTCAATTTAAGCAAGCTCCCCCCTAAAATGGTTAACTCTCTTACCTATGCCATCAATCATCAAACCCCAAGGCTAATCACAACTAAAACTTCCCCTGGCCTCCCTAAGTCAGCTAGCCACCTCCCCTAGCCTGGACGAACACCCTAGTGGCTGGAAAACCCAAAATTGAGAGCTTGTACCTTTCCTTAAATCCAAAATTAAGCCCATATCTTGTGGCTCTCTCCCATTGGACAATTGCGCCGCTCACCCCTCCACCTCAGCTTATTCACATAGGTCAATGGCAGCCTGAGACCTCTCCCTTGACCTCAATTATAAATAGCACCCTCCACGACCAAACCTAGATCCATCCAAAAACCTAGGGGAAACTCTGCCCAATTGCACCCACAGTCGCATACCTCCTAAGTGCAATCCCACCATCCTTAGTCATCCATCCCCACCAAGATACCCTAATTTCACCACTCAAATTCAGGGTTTTTTTCGGTCATTTCAATAAACCCTTCAAAACTCCAAATTAACCATTCCACAAGCTTCACCAGACCTCAAAACCACTTCACAAATTAAAAATCCTCTCTCTCAAGCACTCTAACACAGTCCTAGACAAAGCCCAAGTCACCCTTTGATCGAAATCATGCATAGACTACTTCTTAGCTCAAGGTAACACTTTGAGAAGCTTCGTGGACTCATGGAAATCATCTCCAAACAACCCAATTGATGCCTCACCTCTTGTGCAAAAGTATAACTCAAATTCCCTAAATTTTGTCTCAGTTTTATTTGACCATATAAATAAGCTCGTCTCATTTAGATGAAGGTGTAGGACCAAACCCCAAGTAATTTGATTGAGAATCGAGTGAGATATTAGGTCTAGAGCACAAACGATTCTCGAGTTAGGATGATCGGGGATGATGAACGGATGCCGTCAATTTCAGCGTGTATAAAGCGGGTGAATCAGATTGTGTCGGACGGATCAAGGAAATGCAAACCGCGAGCTAACGAGGTCTGCTACGTGAAAAGCACCACGAATGGTAGCGCACCACATGTGATTTTGGAGACGTCGAGATTGTGCTGGTGGCTAACTCAGACAAGTAGATAAATAGGGTATTTTTGAATTAAATAAATATAAAAAATTTAAAAATTCATATCTTAGTGTAAAAAAACATAAAAATAAAATAAAAATACCTCTGTGCTAAGTTAATAGAGAAAAAATAAAGACTAAGAATTAAACATTATTTTCTTTTTATTTATGTTTAAATAAATTAAATACTCTAGAGAGTAAATAAATCATAAATAATTAAATAATTAATTAAATCGAATTAAATTTTGAGGGTTTGCTTTGCATAACCTTTGGGGTCTCATCTAATTTTTCCAAGTTCAGAGGACATTTCCATGGTTAAAAGCTCTAATTTTTGAAGTATTTAGTTTTATTTTAATTTTAAAAAGTATAAAAATAAAATAGTGGTAAGAAAAATAAGAAATCTTGTTTGTAGGTTCACTGTGGTCAGAGAATCTTAAGAGAAATAAAATAAATTTTATAAACTTTTCAAGCCTTTTTTCCGATTTAAAGTTAATAAAAATCATTAAAAATTAGAAAAATATAAAATAATTCAAATAATTACCAAAATGGGCCGGGATGTAGATAATCATCATAAAAATTTGAATGTCATAAAAAGTATCCTTAATGCAAATATGTATTTTCTAAGTAAATACTAATTTTGTCTTAAAATAATTATAATAAACAAAAGAAAAATCAGAAAATATGAAAATTAGTTTGGAGTGTTCCTTGTGACTAGAGGAACCTAAGAAAAATAAAATTGAGATTAAAAGAAAAATTTTATTTTTAAGTTATTTCTTTTTAATTTTAAATAATTAAAATACCAAGAAATACCAAAGATGTGAAAATACTCCGAAATGTCATAAATGTCACCTCAAGCACACAAAATAACTTAAAGAGATGTTTGCAAATTTTCAATGGTGTAAAAAGATGTTTTAAATAATTAAATGGATTTTTTTAAAATTTATGAGTAAAATAATTAAGTAAATAAAATAAAAATCACAAAATTACAAAATCATTTCTCTGGGTTCTTTGAAATCAGAGTGACCCATAAAAATACAAAAATGATTTTTTCAAAAAAATATATTATTTATTTATTTATTCATTCATTAAAAATTAATTTAAAAATTGTAAAAATTAAAGTATAATTTGAAAAATAACAAAG